CGCACAGAAAAATTCGTTACCCACTGTCGACGAAATATGGTCGGCAGTCCACCGAGGGGGGTGCCCACGGTGGTAGATTATCGGTAGGATGCGTGTGATCAGGAACCAGATGGTGACACAAGGCGCAGAGACAGCGATTTAGACAGGTTCGGGCCGTCTGATCAACGTAATACCCTACGTCCTGTGTCTTTGGTGTATTGTATTGAGATGTATGCTGTCTGATCTCTATGGATTTGCTTGGATCTGTCCCTGAGGGGAACCCCTGCCTCTCCTTATATACTCTGGAGGAGGAGGGTTATAAGTAAAGTATCCTATTTGGTACTATCACAATATCTAGTACAACTTATAATCTTGATGTGCACGCCTTGATCTTACGGGCCGGGCCACCTCGGATGGTGCGGCCCATGTACCATCTTGTGGTATCCGGGGGTCTATCCCCCACAGCTAGTCCCCGAGCGCCATGCATTCTGATGCGACACGCCATTTCAACCTTCTCCGAACAGTGAGGCTTGAGTTCTTGACATCTCCGACCACCGTTGTCGCCGGAGAAGGAGGTTGTCCGAAGAATGTATGGTGCTCTTAAGAAGAAAGAAAAAGATTTCCGTCCTGGAAAGTGTGCCCACTTGTATTTCTGAAAAGAAATGTAAGTGCGTCCTGAAGCGTAGCGTCCTTGATCATCAGAGGCGTAGAGGTCGAAAAACAAACACATTCACCGCAAGGTGAAGTGTGCCCACTTAGTCCCCGAGCCTGGTAGTAGGTGACGTAGGCACGTGGTGCCAGGGTCTAAAAAGAATTCCCAGTTAAGTTGAGAATCCAATCGTCGTACAAGCGATACGAGATGCACCGGCAGGTGCATCGTACCGATGTAGTCCCCGAGCTTGCTGGAAGGCGAGGTATGAGCCTTGTAGCAAGGTCTAAGTGAGAAAAAATACTCCAACCGTATGCGAGTCGCCAGTCGCATGTAGTCGAGACGCAAAGTCCCCGAGCCGTGGTCGGAGAGTGGTCGAGGCAGTCCCCGATCACAGGTCGAGGAGCGAGCGACGAAGTCCTCGAGCCGTGGTCGGAGAGTAGTCGAGGCAGTCACCGAGCACAGGTCGAGGAGCGAGCGACGAAGTCCCCGAGCCGTGGTCGGAGAGTGGTCGAGGCAGTCCCCGAGCATAGGTCGAGGAGCGAGCGACGAAGTCCCCGAGCACGGAGTGGTCTGGTGAGTCCCCGAGCATGAGCGTGGTCTGGCCAGAGTCCCCGAGAACGAGCGTGGTCTGGCAAGAGTCCCCGAGCACGAGCGTGGTCTGGCCAGAGTCCTCGAGCACCGTAGTGGTCTTGGCGAATCCTGAAGCATGAGCTCGCTGACCGAACTGTGTTCCTGAAAAATAAACACAGAGAGCGGTAGTACATGATGATGTACGAAATATATTGATCTCTCTGTAGAAGGTGAAGTAAACACTTGGTGTTCGGTTGGCGATGAATTATACTTGGTGTAATATTCGAAAAATAACATTAGCTGTTTTTAGCCCTTTTGTTATGTAGTGGCGTAGCGCGATGTATTAACCTGTCCTGAAGAATGCGCCAGCCCTGGGCTGACCAACATCTCGTAGCGCGAGGTACGGAACGCTGCCGCGCGTAGAGTGCCAGTGTTACCAGGGAGCGACTGCCGACTACCCGTAGCGCAGAGGGCGGACTCTCATGCACGCGTGGGGTGGAGCCGGAGACAGTGCCGGCTCTGGGATTCTCAAGCAGGAAGGAAAACGTATCGGCGAACCGTTGTAAAAACTTATACATGTTTTGGATTGTATGTATGGAGAAAATTCGACGCGGAGCGCACCCTAAGGGTGGTCGGCGGAGGTGTATGATGATCGAAGAAATTTTCAATTAAAAATAATACTTAGCTTTATTGACGGCCGGTGGGTGTAGTCGACGTGTTGCGATGTTCGAGAGATGGCTTGACGTGTCGTTGGCAATGAAGTTGTCCGGTCCTCGAGCTTTTCGACCTGTCGTCATGACTGTGGTCGCGATTGTCGTAGCGCCGTTCTTCGCGGCGATCATCATTGCGACGTAGTCTTGTGGTCGAGGTGGTCGGAGCTCGGCGGAGCTGCTCGGGACGTGGTTGACGTGGTCGGAGCTCGACGGAGCTGCTCGGGATGTGGTCGACGTGGTCGGAGCTCAGCGGAGCTGCTCGAGATGTGGTCGACGTGGTCGTGGTCGACGTGGTCGGAGCTCGGCGTGGCTCGCTTAGCGGCTCGCTTGGTTCGACGTGACTCGCTTGATGGCTCGGCGTGGCTCGCCGACGGCTCACTTGACGACTCAACGCGTGGCTTGCTTGGACGGTTGTGCATCGTTCGGTGCAAAACCATCGTTCCTCTGTGCCAAATTTGGCGTCGTCTTGCCTTTGCCCGGCGAATGACATCGGCACTGCGCCACCCCTACCGCCATGGAAGCTACGAGATAATCATGAAGCGGATGGTAGAAGCATACGACACGCAATAGAATGCTTAATCTAAAAATAGAAACATGACTTAGCTCATTATGGGCACGTGCGAGCTTGCATCATTCGCACGACGATATCGCTGTACGTCGATATGGGTACATACACCCATACGAGCAATTAAATTAGCCTTGCATGGTGGTGTAGATCGTGCTTGCTCCAAGATAAATTCTCGGGTCGTTGCATGTTGCTCTAGACTTCTTGGGCGTCGTGTCATGTGGAGCCGCCACCATGGCCCATGAGCCTCGATGAAGATGAGACATGCATGCACGCATCACGCGGTTGTGTCGGATCATGAGGCTCAAGCGTCTGTTGTGATCGACTTGATGCACATAACGGTGGTCCTTAGATCCGTCATGATTGAACCCGTGTCCGGTCTTCTAGCTTGGCGTTGATCCCGATCCACGAAATTGAAGGAGCTGGGGAGCTAATAGATTAATCGCCAAACCGCAGCGGAGTCATCCTGCCGTGTGGTGACGGTCGTGAATCCCGCGTGATAGCATGCCGCCTCCGATCGTCACGGGATGCCGAGAGAAGAACCACCGCGAATCATCGAGAAGGGCTGACGAAAACCGAGGAACCGTGCCGTGACGTGTTGCAAAAGGAGTCTTGCTGCGGGAAGCCGAGTCGTCGCGGATAATGTTGATCAAGAAAAATCCCATCTGATTCGCCGGAAGATCAAGACGCACAACCCCTAGAGGGGACCTCACCGGCGCGCGCCATCGTCGATTTAAATATGGTCGGCGATCCCACCGAGGGGGGTGCCACGGTGGTAGATTATCGGTAGGATGCGTGTGATCGGGAAACCGAGATGGTGACACAAGGCGCAGAGACAGCGATTTAGACAGGTTCGGGCCGTCTGATCAACGTAATACCCTACGTCCTGTGTCTTTGGTGTATTGTATTGAGATGTATGCTGTCTGATCTCTATGGATTTGCTTGGATCTGTCCCTGAGGGGAACCCCTGCCTCTCCTTATATACTCTGGAGGAGGAGGGTTACAAGTAAAGTATCCTATTTGGTACTATCACAATATCTAGTACAACTTATAATCTTGATGTGCACGCCTTGATCTTACGGGCCGGGCCACCTCGGATGGTGCGGCCCATGTACCATCTTGTGGTATCCGGGGGTCTATCCCCCACACCCACGGGACAATTCGAGTTTCCAGTAGTGACCGGCCAAAGATAGAAAACGAGAATGACTATCTAGAGTGCATATAAGAGATATAAAAAAAACTGGAAAATAATTTTTATGCAAATGACTCTCCAAATGATAATTTAGAGACTAAAATTTCTAAAGACTCTTGGAGATGCTCTGATAAGAAACAGTGGTTATAAATCTAGAGAGAAAGAGAGAGAGTTATTTTGATAAGATGTATCATGAAGGAAGTGTTATTACCTCTATTTTGTTTGACGCAGCCATTCGGAGTATGGGTTGCCGATGGTTCCCTTGGGACACTGGCATGAATAGTTGCCAGGTAAATTTTGGCAATCACCAAAGCATTTATCCTGAAGCGTGCACTCATCGATATCTAAGTAATAATCAGGACAAAAACTAAGCAGAGCGGTAATATATTGTGTAATATATATATATATATACTCCCTCCGGTTCTCTAAAGCAAGTCGTTTTGAGGTTGTCTTAAGTCAAACATTTTAAATTTTAACTATAAATAACTTCTTTTGGGTTGAATTTGAAAATATGAAAGTGATGTAAGTAGATTCATCTCGAAATGTAGTTTCATAAAAGTAGACATTGACTATATTTTATAAATATTTTATAGTAAAAAGTTGCAGTCAAAGTTATTTCTTAAAGACCATGTCAATATCCAAAATGACTTACTTTAAAGAACCGGAGGAAGTATATATATACAAGAATTGGATATCTCCGATAACTAAAAAAAACAAAACGTGAATATTTTTTAATACAACATTTGTTTTCGTTCATCCGTCTACCCACGCCTGTAATCCCGCACCCGTCGCTCCCTCGCTTGTCTTCCCATGCGATCCCCTGCCGCTCGCCTCGCGACCGCGTTCACTGCGACCGTCACCGCGAGTTTAAGCCGCACAAAAGGAAACCGCTCCCAATCAGGCGATCTCGACGCCGCCATCACCCGAGCAAACGCCGGCGGAAGAGAGGGGGCCAGCACACTACGTCCCGTCGTCCCAGTCGTGCGGCGGGAGATCGGGATCCAGCGCGACCTGACCGCCCGAAAGTCGCGAGGGTAGAGCAACGGCCTCCCTGGTTGCACTCCCGCCCGCATCGCGAGGAACTGAAACGGCGCCGCGGTGCCGACAGTCGTGGGTGGAGCAGGGAAAGCGGCGGTGAGCACGAGGGCACAGGCCGGCCGCGCGGGGGCTCGGAGCCGCGTGTGTCTTCCGGTAAGCAATCCTGCACTGCTTTCTAAATTTGGGTAATCGCGCTCGCGTGGGCTCCTGATCCCTCTCGTAGCCGGCGCGAATCCCGAGGCGGAGGAGGAAGAGGAAGAGGGGGGCGGAGTGGGGGCGGCCCCATCAGCCATGAGCCTCGCGGGCTCCGCCCTGGAGGCGGCGTTACAGGCGGTGGGGCGCGGCCTCGACGCAGCTGGAGACCACCGGATGCTCTACTGCAAGGGAGCCGGAAGGCTCGTGGCGCTCGAGGAGGACCGTGCGCGGGACCTCCCGCTCCCCGACGGCGGCGTCCTCCCGAGCGTGCCCCCCGACGTCGAGGTCGAGCAGTGCCACAGAGAATCCCAGCGCATCCGCAACTTCCCCTACGACCCAGGCTCCGCCGTAGCGGACGCGCCCTTCGTCTGCAGCTTCGATAAGGTGAGCTGGGGTGCTTCGTCCCGATTGGAAACTTCCGATCGGATCGTGCGCCGCGTTCTGTTCTGTTTGTTCTGCACTTGTGATGCGAATCCTGGTCGATGCCCTGTGCTCCGCGGCCGTTTACTTCGCGTTATGTGACTCTGATGCCTTTGTTGGCAGATGGCCGAGTATTTCAACGGGAAGTCAGGCTTGTCCGAGACAGTACCGCTGGGTTACTTCAACTCTCTGTTCAGCTTCACCGGTTCATGGAAGAATGATGCGGCGGTCACGAAGGCCCTTGCGATTGATGGCTATTCTCTGCCTCTGTTTCGAGTGAAAATTAGGAGTTCTGAACTGACGCTGCTTGAGAGCGTTAAGCGCGCGATCCCAAATGTTTGGGATCCATCAGCATTGGCTAGGTCAGTAGGTAATCTTCTTATTTGATACTGTTATCAGGATCCATTTCTGATCAGTCCCATTCTGTAGAACTCTTAGCTTAGTACTTTACACACCCTGTTAGCTTAAGCTACTTACCGGACACTACGCCAGATTCGTACAGCAAAAACGAGGGCATTTTTACTGTAGGGGCGGCTGGGGTTAGGGGTGCTCCTACAGTGGGCGTCCTCGGACCCCAGCAGCCCAGCCGCCCCTACAGTTCGGGCTGATCTGTAGGGGCGGCTCAATCACCAGCCGCCCCTGCAGTGCCCACTTGTCTTTTTTAAAATTTCAAAATTTAAAAGGTTCAAATTTAGTCAAATGACAAGATAACCAAAATAAAAGTTGTAGATCTCGATGAGTTGAACAACTTTTGTATTCATCACTTTTACATCTGAAATCATTTAGGGTTTGAAAATATGGTTTGAACTTATCAAATTTCAAATTTCAAATTTTAAAATGTATAAAACATTGTCACATCCAAGTTTGATCAAACTTAAATATTGAAGCATGATTTTATAAATTTTTAGGAAAAAAACCATCACATTTGGAGTTAGTACGAGGGAGAACAACTAGTTACAAAGTTTACCCACAGATTAAAAAGAGAAATCACACTGTTCTAGCTGATCCTTACATGATCATAGTGAACAGTGTGATTTATTTTTTTAATCTGTGGGTCAACTTTGTAACTAGTTTTTCTTCCTCATAATAACTCCAAATCTGATGATTTTTTTCCTAAAATTTTCTAAAATCATTCTCTATCAATTTATTTTGTTGGTTTTGTCAATATATACATATGAAAAGTTTGAGCAATTTAAATTTTGAATTTCAAAAAAATACAACTTCAGACAAGATTTTGGTACCCCAAATGATTTCAGCTGAAAAAGTGATAAATACCAAAGTTGAATAACTCATCAAGATCTACAACTTTTGTATTGGTTATTTCTTCATATGACAAAGTGGTAATGACATTGTTCACAAATGTGACACATCTCTCGTAAGGTTTTATAAACTATATGAGACATGTGTAAGATTAGTGAACAATGTGTGCTAAGAATTTGTCAAATGAAGAAATGACCAAAATAAAAGTTGTAGATATTCATGAGTTGAACAACTTTGGTATTCATCACTTTTTATGTTAAAATCAATTTGGGTCTCAAATTTTGGTTCGAACTTGTCGTTTTTCAAAATTTCAAATTTGAAAGGTTCAAATTTTGTCAAATGACAAGATGACTAAAATAAAAGTTGTAGATATTAATGAGTTGAACAACTTTGGTATTCATCACTTTTTATGTTGAAATCAATTTGGGTCTCAAATTTTGGTTCGAACTTGTCGTTTTTCAAAATTTGAAATTTGAAAGGTTCAAATTTTGTCAAATGACAAGATGACTAAAATAAAAGTTGTAGATATTAATGAGTTGAACAACTTTGGTATTCATCACTTTTTATGTTGAAATCAATTTGGATCTCAAATTTTGGTTCGAACTTGTTGTTTTTCAAAATTTGAAATTTGAAAGGTTCAAATTTTGTCAAATGACAAGATGACTAAAATAAAAATTATAGATATTAATGAGTTGAACAACTTTGGTATTCATCACTTTTTATGTTGAAATCATTTTGGGTCTCAAATTTTGGTTCGAACTTGTCATTTTTTTAAATTTCAAATTTGAAAGGTTCAAATTTAGCCAAATGACAAGATAACCAAAATAAAAGTTGTAGATCTTGACGAGTTTTATAAATTTTTGGTTTATGACTTTTTCATTTAAAGTCATTTGCTATCCAAAAAATCTGTCATAGTTCTCATATTTTGAAATAATATTTATAAAAAAATATTGACCGGGCCTTATTTATCTCCCCCTGCCTGGGCCTGTTTGGCCCACTCGTCCGTGTAGCTCTCTTGACCGTCTGATTAGATCGGACGGCTCACATCACACCCTTAACCGATCAAAACCTGGGTCATCCCGGCTTCCTGAACCCTAGCTTCTTTCTTCATCCCTCCCTCGACTCCTCCACTTCTCCCGTTCCACATGTAGTGGCGGCGGCGGCGGCGCCTGGTGAGCCCCCTCGTGGGTCGGGAGGGCCGGCCAACAGGTGAGAGAGAGGGAGCCCGTGGCACGGCGAATACCCGGCAACAGAATAAAATGAGCGCGAACGCTGAAAGCACTGTGCCTGTGGCCCCACGCACGTCTGCGTGCCCAGCGCCCGCACGCCGCGGTGAAAGAGAGGTGGGCGGCCATGGCGCAGCAGCAGCAGGAGGCCGAGGCTTCGCGCAGGAGGAGGGCGGGCGCCCACCCTCGGCTCCTGTTGTCGGCGGCGACGGCGCATGGGATCCATCGTCGAGCTCCAAGAAACAATCGTCTGCACAGATGGAGGCTCCACGTTCTATTCCTCCGACCCCAACCTCAGATCTGCCCGCTTTGTCTTCCAGGTCACCCCCATCTCCTCTATTTTCCCTTGCTATTCCTACTACGTCTGCAAGATGGATTTACCCAACCAAGATGTCTGTAGTTCTACTACTACTTGCAGTAAAAAACAGTTTGCACACATCTTCTGAATATGTTTTTCAGCAATATGGCATAGGCAGTAGCATTCTACGATTTGTGTTCACACGTAGATGGATGACAGTAGCATCCGTTGATTGCATAGATTCAGTTTCTGGAGAGCAATTTGCCATGTACTGATAACCTTAGATGGGTGGTGCAATAAAAAAATGACAGTAGTATAATTATAAATACATGGAATGCCATTGCTTGGACTTTTAGTTGCTACAATTAAGTGGGTCGTGTAATCACTGGAAGGTTATAAAAAACTACAGGCAATCAGCGCATCAAAGGCTCCCTGGCTCTTCCAATGGTTCAGGAAGTTGAAGGCGCTTATTTGCTTTCTTTGTACATCCTTTTGCTCTTTACTGTGCCTTTCATATTCTCTTACTAGTACTTCTGCAGCTAAAGCTTAGCAGCAGGGCATCAAATTGTTCTTAGGTGCTGCACGTAATTTACACATATGCTACAAGTAATTTACACAGAAGGCAACACCACTAGTGAATCTAGTTCTAATGTTCTATGTTTGATGTATCTCATTTATAAGATTCAAGTTTCAATCGAGTCTAACATCTCATAGCAAATTTGTGAATATGTTAATAATGGAACAAATTTGACCTGCATGTGTACCCACTGATAGCTTGCGATTTTGGTAAATTCAAATTTGCTATGAGATGTTACTAGGTTTTTTTTTTAGTTTACCTGAGAGCTTTCTAGCTTACTAGTTTGTCGTTTTTTTACCAGCTTCCTCCACCAATCCTGCACGGCAGCATCCTATCGATCATCTGTCCAAGTTCCCAAGCCTCAAGGACAAAGGTACATTATTTCCCTGAATTTTGCCTAGTAATATTGCACTTGCAGATTTGTATGCATGGTAGGTGTTAGAACTTGAGATACTCAATACTTATCTCTAGATTCTTTTTATGCCCAGACACTGCTATGCTAGAATTATTTTGCCCTTATTTTGCTGGTTATTTTAAAAGAATATTTAGCGACAGATCGTTCATTGCCAATCTCGATGTTGTGGTGTAGTGATCTTTCTATCTTATTTTTTACTATGATGAACAAAAATTGGGATGTGACATGGTGAAAGTAAGTCACTGCAGTACTATTTTACCTCCGTAGAATTTGGTTGTGTGAGGTATTACTGTTTGTACAACACCTGATCTAACTATCAGATATCAATGACATACCCAATGATGGGCAGGGTGATATTAGTGATGGCCAAGACATTTTGGTGAGTGTGCACTCTGAGTGCCTCACAGGTGACATTTTGGGATGAGCAAGATGTGATTGTGGTGACCAGCTTGCAAACATTGGTGTATGCTACTTATAATGTTATCAGATCTGATGTGTTCTAATGAAATTCATAATGGACTATGTTGTAATGATGGACTTTTGTGAATTATGACTTGTGATGATGTTCTAAATAATGGTCTTGTGTTTGTGGTTTGTGGATGTATATATGTATATTTGTGGCGGTCAGATTCGAATTTGAATTATATATATATATATATATATATATATATATATATATATATATATATATATATATATATATATATGTGTGTGTGTGTGTGTGGTCAGATTTGAATTTGAATTATTTTTTTTTGCTGTAAAATCCACTGTATGGACGGTTCTTGATTGAACCGCCCTTACAAATACACACAGCAGGGGTGGCTGGTGATACAACCGCCCTTACAGAAGTCCACTACTGAGGCACTGATATTACCACCACCCTCACAGAGGGCCTTTGAGGGGCGGCCGACAACACCAGCCGCCTTTATAGAGGGCAACTCAGGGGGGTGAAAACACTACCACCACCCTACAGAGGGCAATCGCAGGGCGGTCAGGAAACCGCCCCTACAGAGGCACCCTTTGTAGGAACACCCTGGGAAGGGCGGCTGGCGCAGCCACCCCTACAGAGGCTCTAGAGCCGCCCCTATAGTTAAGTTCTGTAGTAGTGGGAAACGTTAAATTTGTTGAGTGTTTTTATGTTTGCCGAGTATATTCTCTTGGGCACTCGGCAAACAAGTTTTTTGCCGAGTGCTGCGCTAAAAACACTCGGCAAAAAAAAAACACTCGGTAAATAGGAAGTTTGCCAAGTGTAAAAAAAACACTCGGCAAACACTGTTTGCCGAGTGTTTTTTTTACACTCGGCAGAGGAAAAAATCTTTTTTCTGGGAAAGAAAGAGAAGAAAAAAAATGAAAAAAAACTTTGCCGAGTGTCTAGATCTTGGACACTCGGCAAAGGAAAAAAAATCTTTTTTCTGGGAAAGAAAGAGAAGAAAAAAAATGAAAAAAAACTTTGCCGAGTGCCTAGATCTAGGACACTCGGCAAAGGAAAAAATCGTTTTTCTGTGAAAGGAAAAAAAAGAACAAAAAACTTTGCCGAGTGCCAAAATCCAGGACACTCGGCAAAGTAAAAAAACTGCTTAATTACCGCCGTTGCCCCTCCCCTCCCTCCCCTCAGCTCCCCTCCCTCCTCCCAGAACCGCCCGCCCACGTCGCTCCCTCCTCTCCCA